GCGATGACCCGGGAAAGGGTGGGCGCCGCGCGGGACCGGCTGGTCCGCCTCGGGGGGAGGAGCCGAGGGCGGGGCTTCGCCCAGAACCCGCCCCGAACCCCAGGGCGCGCGGCGCGAGCGCGACACACCCTGGGCCCTGCTGCGAACCCGGCGCGGACCCTGGGCTCCGACGGCTGCGCCCGCAGCGCCGCGTGGTTTCTCCGCGCCCAGCAGCGGTACCTGCTTTCAGCCCGGCCGCCTTACCCCCGCAGAGCCTTCGGGGGTCCTGAGGGCTACGACCCTTCGGCCTCCTCAGCTTCGGCTTTCCCCTTCGACCTCTCCTTTCCACCGTATTCCCCCGACACCCTCCTGCTGAGAAGGCGAGTTCTAGATCCAGCGCTCAGGAGCGCCAGCTCGCTACGCCCTGGGCTTCGCGGGCCTACAGTGACCGGACGGGAAGGGAAGGCTAGCATTCCTGTCTGAACGGGCCATCTTTTTGCTGTAGTAACTGCAGCGGTGTTAACCATGCAGGCACCCGAATATTTTAGGTTGTTTGTTGGGTACATCCTAGCTTGGTCTGTGGCTTCCTCAGAGAGGGGACAGGACTGCCTCCTGTTGATGGCTACGTCCTGGCCTGGAGAAGCTCCAGGGATGTGGGCTGAATGAATGAAACCTTGAGAGTCAGACTTTCTGTTTCTGACACACTTATACTCGAGGACATGACAGATATAAAGCTCAATCTGAGCAAATACAAATATGGAAGAGGAACCTTAACTTTCTGAAGAAAAGCGATGCCTTTCTGACCTTTTCATTGAGTTGGCACCATAGTAGAGCTTTTGTGAGAGCACTTTAATGAATCAAACAGACCAGAAGAATGTAAGATTTGGGGACGAGTAGGTGGCGTGGTGGTTAAGGCGCTGGACCTTCCCAAATGGATGACCACAGTTGGAGTCCTGGACTTGGTGGCTTGTTTTCTCACTTCCTTTCTGTACATCTTTCTCTGGTCAAATTAAAATAAATGAATGAATAAATAAAATTAAATAATTCTTTAAACAAAAAAGAATAT